TAATGTGCAGTTTGCAAACTACTGGCTTCTCGGTGAGCCCCAACCCATGAGCTAGAGCCAGTCCACTTGTCTAAGTTCATGAGATTTTTGTCTGCTGATCGACCTAGGAATCCCTCCCTCACGCCATACACGCGCGGGTGCTGCCCTACCCCGACCATCTCAGGGCGCCCATGACACTTTATAAACTCCAGTTAAGGAGCTGATATGCCCCAGAGCCCCCTAGACAGGGGGGCGACACCAGGGTCGGTCAGGGGACGCTCGGGCTAGCGGTTACGACACTCGCCAAGGAAGGCACACGATCGCAACGCTAGGCTGCTCAGTCTGCAGAGCGTCGGAGCGTGAGGCGATCCGTGCCAAGCCGGGCACAGGCCGTACAGAGATTATCCGGTGCGCGGGCGGATGTTATTCGCCACGAGTGTTGGGAAGTTAGGTAAGCCCGTGCCTCTATACCCGGTCGGAGGCATGAGAGTAGCCCACCGCTCAGGCGGGCGCGCATGGCGCGAATGCACAGGGAGAGCACTTGAGAGGCATAGAGGACCATGCCTTTTACGAGCTCTGCTACTAGCAAGATCTACCCTGTCCACCTCCCAATTACCCCCTTCCTCCCCGCGGGTCACTCGGAGACCTAGGCGGCAGCTCGACAGATTCCCACGCAGCCGCCCCGCCCACCGCGCTCCCTGAAACACAGTGCGGAAGCTCAATAACTATTCAATCACTCTCTCGCTCTCGGCGAGCTCTGCCCCTCTCCGCCGACCATGCTCGTGCGGCCTGCCAACGCGGGACCTTCACAGACAACCTAATCCTAAACAATATTAAACCAAAGGTACAAATCGGCGCTCCCTAGGAGGGCATGCAGAGTGCCGAACGCGGTGCTAGACCCAACACACTGCGGAAGTCTCGTGTCAGCAACCTTACCTCCAATCTCACTCCTCTCTCCTGACCAGTCTGGCAATGTTGCGAGGCTACAGAAAAATGCTGACTTGGCCCGATCCAGGCCTTCAAGGCGCCGGCCTCCCTGGGGCACAGAATTACAGAACACAGCCCCCTCCCTCGTGGCCCGTCCTTGCTGGGGGGTGGGGAGGACTCGGGGACAGACAGGCCGGGGCTGACACGTGCTCATGGAGGCTGTCCTGCCACCCTCGGGCCTTGGCCTGGCCCGCCGACATGGGCTGCACATCTCTCCTCCCCAGCCCGCGCTAGCCCCTCCATCCTCCTGGAGCTCAGCGAGGGGCGACTCAGGGGCCGCCCGTCCATGCCAGAACCCAGACCCGGCAGCCCCATATAGACACTAGGAAGAGAGAGAGAGAGACAAAGGCGTGGGCGGACTCGGCCCCCCAACACCATCCCTCCCCGCCAGGGTCCGGGTTGTTTCCCTGGTGGAAAGGCCTAACGTCTGCACAATGTGCGAGCTAGATATATATTTTTATTTATATATGAGAAGAGTCCGCTTTGTTTCAATAGATGAGAGATGCGTGGGTCAGCTACAAAAGCTCCCGCACCTTCTAATTCTCTTGGGCTCCAGATCCATACCTGCACTACAGAGCCCTCCGATGGAGCTGAGGGAGCACTAACGGTCCTAATTTCTGTCTGGATGCGCCACCAATCAAATTGATTCATAATTCCCGGCTAATTCTTTTTATTACATATCTCATAACATACAGTTAGCCAATTAAATTTCGTTCTATTATCTACATCTTCAACTCTTACGTAGAGACGGGTCTTCACACAGTGCTGGTTTTGATACTCTTCGCGTACAATCGCTACCAGCCTCGGCTTCTATTCGATAATAATTAGACTGAACCCAGAGAGCGTCGACTATTACAGCAGCGATTCAGAGCTCTAACCCACTGCCCTGCCCATGACCGAACGCCTGGTATCTCCTCAGAGGATTCTGAGGGCCAACAGCAACTCGCAATCAGTCACCACCACATGGGGGACGTCGGCGCGACCTTCTCCCTGAACACGAGAGCCGGCCACCCTCCAAGAAATCGCGCTCCAAGGCTCCGGCGCCTAAACCATCAAGAGGCGACATAAAAATATACAAACACTCTCATTATACCATCAAAACATACACCCTAAAATCCCCACACCTACATTTATTATTCAAATAAAAAAACAACAATCACAAACAAAAAATAAATATAATAAGCGCTTGGGCTGCTCATGGGAGACAGGAGCCGTCTCGCACACAGAGCAGATACCCGGCCTATCACCGTGGCAGCCCATGCTATATCACTCTACGGCAATCAAGCCAACACATAGTGCCTACAGCGCCAGCAACACAAGGACCTCCACATGTAACAGAGAAACTACAGAACACCTCTTCCCTTCGCCCACAGAGCTATCTGCACTCTGACCACATAAGTCAGCCCTCTATCTGCTTCGACTCACTTAAAACTTAATTTCTCGCTCCATTACTACCGGCAAGCGAGGCCAGGGCAGACCCCATCTTCACTCAGCGCCAGTGAGTGCGAAGCCTACACCTCACAATGACAACCTAATCCACTACAGCATCTTCAACCCGGAAGGAACCAGGCAGCCCAGAGCAACCAATAACTCCCCCCTGCTTGAAGAACAGCAGGGATCCACACTAGAGCACACACAGGGATATTCTATCTTCGAACCCTTTCCCACATGGATTTCCACTGCGGAGGACAAGCAGTGGACCCATCGGCCTGATAAAATTACACTACATTAACTACTCCATTAATACAAAAACCAATATGACCTATCCCCCTACCACCTCTCCCTCCATACCGGGAAGTGACCATGGCAAGTTCCCGGACCGCTGGGAGGAGTAGCAGGGACCACGGCCTACTACAGTGGAATACCCTGAACCCCACAGCCACCACTGCCTGAGCAGAACGCAGCGACCTCGGCACCCAGGGGAATATACATGAACCTCATCATCTCATCATCTGCACCACTCAGAGGAAGGAACAAGGCAGCCCAGGACCTAACCGCTGGAGGATAGGCGCGAGGTGACCACACACATCAGAAATTAACACAGAACCCCCCACAGGACCAAATGCCTGGGAGGAATCAATGCATGACCCTACCCATACTAGGGCATATCAATAAAACTTCACAATTTTAATCTTCTAAAAACCTATATTAACTAAAATCACATTCATTAATTACGGTTTAATTTACTATACTCCAACTAAATTCCATCACCCTACATATATTATATCACTTCTCCTTCATATTACTAATCCTCCATAACATTCTAATTATACTTAATAACCTAGTAACCAACCCTAGGACCTGCTAGTGAGCGGATAGCACACGACCCATACAGGAATACACCTGAAAGGCCCCACACACGGACCTCAATTACATGCTGAGCAGGAATGCAAACAATGAGGACCTATCACAGTCACAAAACAGGGAATACTCATCTGGAGCCCAGGACCCTTCACGCTATGGGAGACAGAGCAAGGGACCGACGGCCACAAGGAGCAAGGCACCTAAGCCCCCAGCCACCACCACACACCTTCGAAGCCACACTTACATAGCGAGGCTCACTATATCATTTCGTCAAATGAGCCGGATCCGAAACAACTCACTCCAGAGCAGCAGTGGCCGTGATGCTGCGATTGAGGGCAGTTGCGCGCGTTGCGGTGCACCTCTATACTGCAGAGACAACAGGGCAAGCGGAGGGTGAGAATGCCAGGCGGAGAGGGCCCATCGAGCCATCGAGTGTCGGTGTATGATATCTTCATGATCCACCTACCCCTGAATACCCCTCCTGCACCAATAGGGAGCGCACATCCTACCTACGCTCCTACTAATTCATCATATTCCACGCCACACAAACGCCACACAGAGACTCATACACAATAAAGAGACCCCTACCATCACCCGCCATCAGGCCAATCTCAGGACACTCAGCGTCCCCAGCCCATAAAGCCCAACCTAGGGACTACCAGTCCCATCGCCCTACGAGCCCCACTCAACACCGGCCTCCACCGCTCCATAACAGCCACAAAAGCCCTCAACTAGGTCTTCATCCCCGTCCCCTCATTCAATTCCATTTCGCCCACAGGTCTAACCAGATTTACATGTACCATCCATACCTAAGGAACCCCTCGCAGCCCCCTTACAACATAAAACCATTAATCACTCTCTAAACACCAAAACACACGTGGCCCAACCTAAGGACACCTACCTACCCCGCCTACGGGCCACCTAGGACCCGACCTCCGTCCACACGCCCACAGGCCCCAACCTAGGACCCCCCATCCCCGCCCACAGGCCCACTAGGACCCTCCGTACCCCCGAGCCACAGGCACCACAAAAACACACACCTAAACAACCTATAGGATCCATCTCTGATCACCCCAGCCCATTGCGTGGACCGCACCCTAAAAACATAAAACAACATGTAACCAACACCGTACCGCCCACAGCACCTAGACCCCCTCCGTCCCTCGCCCACAGGCCAACCTAGGACCGTCCACCGCCTCACGGGCCAACTAGTACCCCTCCGTCCCCTGCCACAGGCCCAACCTAGGACCCCCTCCGTCCCCGCCGACAGGCCCCACATAGACACCCTCCGTCCACCGCCCCACGTGGCCCACCTAGGCAACTCCGTCCCCACGCACAGAGACACACATAGGTCCCCTCGTCCCCGCCCACAGGCCCCAACCTAGACCCCTACGTCCCCGCCACAGGCCAACTGACCCCCGTCCCCACACCACACCAGCCCACTAGGACCCTCCGCCCCCCGCCACAGGCCAACTTAGGACCCCCTCCGTCAGCTGCCCACAGGCCAACCTAGGACCACCCTCCGTCCCCGCCCACAGTCCCAACGCTAGACCCTCGTCCCCGCCCCGTGCACCAACCTAGGACCCCTCCCCCCACCCACAGGCCACCTAGTCCCTTTTTTCCGTCCCCCGCCCACAGGCCCCAACTAGGACCCCTCCGTCCCCGCCACCGGCCAACTAG